GAGGACAACAAAGAGTTAGTGAAATTCTAAGAAGACAGTATGAAGCTATATTTAGCACACCAATAAACATCATGAAAGTTGATGACCCAGACAGCTTCTTTATAAATGACATTTAAGCTGCAGATAACATAACAGATATTAACACAAACTCGGAAGACTTTGAAAGAGAAATTGACAATATGCCTATGCACTCAGCTCCTGGGCCTGACTCATGGAATTCAATATTTATATAGAAATGTAAAGTACCAGTAGCGTGAGCACTCAGCATAATATGGAGAAAGAGCCTAGATACAGGAGAGATACCAGCAGCACTTAAATCTGCAGATATAGCTCCGTTGCACAAGGGGGGGGGAGTAAAGCCTTTGCAAAAAATTATAGGCCAGTTGCACTAACATTACACATAATAAAAGTGTTTGAAAGAGTGATTAGGAATCAAATTTCTAGATTTATGGAAAATAATGAGTTGCACAACCCAGGACAACATGGATTTAGAGCGGGAAGATCCTTTCTGTCGCAGTTACTCAACCACTACGACAAAATCACAGAAGCTCTAGAAGAAAAGCAAAAGGCAGATGTTGAATACACAGACTTTGCAAAGGCGTTCGACAAATGTGGCCATGGGGTGATAGCACACAAAATGAGGTCAATGGGAATAACTGGTAAAGTAGGATGCTGGATACTCAATTTCCTGTCGAACAGAACACAGAGAGTAACAGTCAATCAAATAAAATCAAGTGCAAGCGAAGTTAAAAGCTCTGTACCTCAAGGTACAGTCCTTGCACCGCTACTGTTCCTTATTCTCATATCAGATATGGACAAAAATACACGTCACAGCTTCGTGTCATCCTTTGCAGATGACACAAAAATCAGCATGAAAATTACCTCTGCTGAAGACATGGAAAAATTAAAAGCAGACATTAACAAAGTTTTTGATGGGGCAGCAGAAAATAACATGATGTTTAACGGTGATAAATTTCAGGTACTCAGGTAAGGCAAAAATGAGGATCCGAAACATAATACAGGGTACAAAACACAATCGAATCTGCCCATAGTAGGAAAACAGCATGTCAAGGATTTGGGAATAAAGATGTCCGACGATCTAACGTTTAGGGAGCATAACCAAGCAAATATTGCATCAGCCAGAAAAATGATAGGATGGATTACGAGAACTTTCAAATCCAGGGATCCCATCACAATGGTTGTACTCTTCAAGTCACTTGTGTTGTCCCGTCTCGAGTACTGTTCAGTACTCACTTTCCCCTTCAGAGCAAGAGAGATTGCTGAAATAGAGGGAATACAGAGAACATATATGCCATGCATAGACGAGATAAAACACCTAAATTATTGGGATCGTCTCAAAGCTCTCCAAATGTACTCTCTAGAAAGGAGACGAGAGAGATACCAAATAATATACACATGGAAAATACTGGAAGGCCAGGTCCCAAATCTACACAGTAAAATAACAACGTACTGGAGTGAACAATATGGAAGAAAATGCAGGATTGAACCAGTGAAGAGCAGAGGTGCTATATGCACAATCAGAGAACACTATAAACATCAGAGGTCCACGGTTGTTCAACGTTCTCCCAGCGACTATAAGAAATATTGCCGGAACAACCGTGGACATCTTTAAGAGAAAACTGGACTGTTTTCTAAGAGAAGTTCCGGATCAGCCGGGCTGTGGTGGATATGTGGGCCTGCGGGCCGCTCCAAGCAACAGCCTAGTGGACCAAACTCTCACAAGTCGAGCCTGGCCTCGGGCCGGGCTTGGGGAGTAGAAGAACTCCCGGAACCCCATCAAGCAGGTATCAAACAGGTACCCCAGAAAGGGAACAAAGTCCCAAACCTGAATGAAGACGGATCCATCACCGACGCATAATCCGGGTCACGCAGGAGATAAGCCGCAAGGGCTGCCCGCACCGCAGAAGGTTGGATGCGAGAAGCCTAAAACCTCCAGAAGGACGGAACCGACGCACCCGGGGAAACATGGAACCGAACCCAGGGAGGAGCAGATACCAAACCCAATTCGTACGCAGAGGGGGGAAAAGAGAACTCCACTCCTTGTAACAACAAGCCCCACTTAGAGGGTAGAAAAACCCAAGCGGGGTCCAGCGGGGCCTAAGGCCCCCAAAGTCAGCCCCTCCCCCGTCCCGAGATCCTCCGTAAGACCAGGGGCTATGTCATCTCCCAAAGCACCGGCCTCAAAAGACAAGGCCAGCGCAGCCGTGTGAGCCGAACTTAAGGGGGGGCCCCCACTGGTCAGACCCGATGGCTTCGGCAGGAGACTAGACTCGAATGCCTCCGTCGCCACACTGGAAGAGGCATATCCCGAGACTGCCTGAGCCTCAAGACTATCTAAACCCTGCTCTAAAACCCTTAGATGCTTCGGAGCTGGAAGCAGTGGGGAGGGGACCAGAACGAACCACAGGAGGGAAAGGACGAGGGGGGGGGGGGTAAGGGGCGGCAGACTGAACCAAAATCAAGGCGACCCCCCCCCCGATGTCCGGGTCCCTGTAAGCAAAACGGGGCAGCCTCGAGGCATCCAGGTGAGCAACCAACCGAATGTGTTGCAACAACCTAAGACGCGCATGCAACGCCTGCGTTGCTTGTACCCTCATAAGGTCATCACTAGACTGGGTAAATAGAGTCATTAGCAAGCAACAGAACTCACGAGACTCAGGGTCGAAAGTGTCACCGACCCAACAGGCAGCATGACGGAGGCAAAAACAGTGAGGGTCACCCTGAGACAAGGGGACTAAACAACCCTCTAACCCGCACGAAGTAGGGGGGGGGGGACTCTGGGGTCACATCCATCAGACCTATGCACCCCCAGGGGTTTCCCAGGGCCCTGAGCGATTAACGAGACTCTTGCCCAGGTAGCCTCAAGCATTGTACTGCTATCCGGCACCCAAAACTACCAAGCAAACTCACTAAAGCTGCAACTCAGGGACGTGTACACTCACGGGGACCTAGCAGGGGGCACCACCAGAGAAGAACCGTAATAGGTCAAGCACAAGTGGCCAAAAGCAGGGCAGATCCCCCCACAAGGCAAAAAGAAAAAAACAAACGCAAGAGGACAGCGTACCCCAGAGGAACAGAGCTGGCCACTGTAATTGGTGAAAACAAGCTGCGCAGCACCCCGTGCCCCGAACCAGTGCAAACTGCCTCTTACCCTAAGGTAAACAAGGGAGACAAAACTCCCAAATACCCAAAGGGCGGCCAAAAAACTGAGCAGTAAAACGGCCAGGAGAGGCAGGACCCAAGGAACTTGTGGAAGGTAACCCAAGCTCCAAGGGCAGTGCTTACAGGGCACCTAGGGAAGGGAACCCTAGGCGCATGCAGCCCGACGATTGGAGACTAACTCCTGGCTCTAGTACCCTTAAAAGACAGCCACCACACTCAAAGCACAGTGCTGAAACTATGTCTGGAGCCAGAGCACACGACCATAGCCTCTAGCATCAGCCTAAGAACTAAGGGGTGGATAGCCGGTTTGAGGGGTATGGGGCTCCCTCTTCACCTTCCCGGCGAGGGGGCAGCTGCGTAGATACCGACGCGGTGACGTCCGACGTCATGATAGTTTGCTCGTTTCATTTAGAGCAGTTCTATCCACTTGTTTGGGATTTGGTAGCAATATTTTCACCAGAATAGGGATTTGTTTTGGGATGCATACCTTTCTGGGTGCCTGACCCGGTTGATGGCAGATATAGAATTCTTCCAACCACACGGGGGTTTCTATAATCCATTGCTCCTCTAGCCTCTTCTGAGGGGACCAGGTTCTGGCTCATGGTCCCCGGTAGGCCCACAGACCTCCATACACATGACTGATGCCAAAGTCTGACAATAGCATATCAGCCTAGTAAGCTCCGGGGAGCCGAAGGGGCTAACACCAGAAATGGGGTTCATTAGGTATAACTTTTAAAATATAGGTACACTGGTACCTCAGCTTACGAATTGAATCCGCTCCTAGAGACAGTTTGTAAGCTGAAAATTCGAACCTGAAACGAATTCTCCCGTAAGAAATAATGTAAATTGAATTAATCTGTTCCACACTCCCAAAAAAAAAAACAGCGTTAAATGAAATGAAACCCCATCTTCTGGGTGAGTTCCAGAGGCTCCCTGGAGCTATCCAGGCTAATAGGGATAGTCCTAACTTTTGGCATCAGTCGATGTGGGTGGAGTTTTAGGCCTACCGGGGACCACGAGCCAGAACCTGGCCCTCTCAGAGAGGCACGAGGAGCAATGGCCCATAGAAATGCACATGTGATTGTGGGGCATTCTATATCTGCCATTGACCAGGACAGGCACCCAGAAAGGTAAGGCCTCGGTAGGCATTTTTTTGACTCACAACGGCTTGGTGAGACATGTATAGTGGAGCTGCCTAGGTGGCTAGTGGCGGAGAGCTGCCTAGGTGGCTAGCGGCAGAGAGCTGCCTAGGTGGCTAGCGGCGGAGAGCTGCCTAGGTGGCTAGCGGCGGGGAGCTGCCTAGGTGGCTAGCGGCGGGGAGCTGCCTAGGTGGCTAGCGGCGGGGAGCTGCCTAGGTGGCTAGCGGCGGAGAGCTGCCTAGGTGGCTAGCGGCAGGAAGCTGCCTAGGTGGCTAGCGGCGGGAAGCTGCCTAGGTGGCTAGCGGCAGGGAGCTGCCTAGGTGGCTAGCGGCGGGGAGCTGCCTAGGTGGCTAGCGGCGGGGAGCTGCCTAGGTGGCTAGCGGCGGGGAGCTGCCTAGGTGGCTAGCGGCGGGGAGCTGCCTAGGTGGCTAGCAACGGGGAGCTGCCTAGGTGGCTAGCAACGGGGAGCTGCCTAGGTGGCTAGTAACAAGGAGCTACAAATGGAGCCCTCCCAGAAATCAATTATTAACCACAACTTTTTGCTTTATGTCTTTATTTCACTACCATGTTAAAAATGTTAAAACATTATTTTAATATAACATACTTTAACAAAACTATACATAATACAATATTAATCACTGCTAAATATAATACAAAGAACATTTCTTTGTTACTTACCAGTTAGAGCAACAAAGAGACGAAGAATATCATTCGTTCCCTCGAAGATCCTGAAAATGCGAATATCCCTCAACACGCGCTCAAGGCCAGCCTCCTTCATAAAGCCCATGCCACCCAACACCTGAATAGCCTCGTCTGTCATCGTCCAAGCTGCTTCAGATGCAAAGCACTACATGAAAACAAAAATATAAATTACAGTCTTCCAGAAAAAACATATACCTTTTGTGTAAAATAATCTTGTATTTAACACTTTCGCTGCCTCTGCAAATGATCCGTCGTACACCTCAAGGTAGGCTGAGCAGCGCACGCTAACTCACCACCACCCACAAATGTTTATACTCTTCTTAGCTTTCTTATCTCAATTTTCATGCAACGTTGTTTAATTAGGTATCAAATTGTTCGTAATAGAATGCTCTAAAGAAATATATGCATATAGGAACGTATAAGTCTCACTTTCCTATACCTTAAACCTGCCGTGCACTGCAAGGCAGGCACAGAGCTCATCCCCACTCTAATGTTTATTCTCTAGTCAGCTTTCTCGCCACAATTTTTGCGCTACATCAGTCAATTTGGTACCAAATTGTTCACACAGAATGCTGTATAGGAGTATTTGCATGTAAGAACCTATAAGTCTCCTTTTTCAATACTTTCAACAAAATCTCAATAACTTTTCCCTCATACGTGTTTCTTTCAATGCTTTTGTCATGGATTGGCTATGTTCTTGATCAGCATCTTAATCTACCATCAGCCACCCACCTCCATAGTCTACCATCAGCCACCCACCACCTTAGTCTACCATCAGCCACCCACCTCCATAGTCTACCATCAGCCACCCACCACCTTAGTCTACCATCAGCCACCCACCTCCATAGTCTACCATCAGCCACCCACCTCCATAGTCTACCATCAGCCACCCACCTCCACAGTCTACCATCAGCCACCCACCTCCATAGTCTACCATCAGCCACCCACCACCTTAGTCTACCATCAGCCACCCACCACCTTAGTCTACCATCAGCCACCCACCTCCATAGTCTACCATCAGCCACCCACCACCTTAGTCTACCATCAGCTACCCACCACCTTAGTCTACCATCAGCCACCCACCTCCATAGTCTACCATCAGCCACCCACCACCTGAAAAATCCAAAATACTTCTTCACATATGCGAAATCAAACTAAAAAACCACTGCCAGTATTGGACCTATTCTTACGAGTGCAGGTTCATACACGGAGGATGACAAAGAAATTAGTGAAATCCCAAAAAACCAGCGTTGAATGTAATGAAACGTCATTTTCTGGGTGAGACCCTGAGGCTTCCCGGAGCTTACTATGCTGATATGCTAATGTCAGACTTTGACATCAGTCACGTGTATGGAGTTCTGTGGGCCTACCAGGGACCACGAGCCAGAACCTGACCCCCTCAGAGAGGCATGGGGAGCAATGGCCTATAGAAACCCCCATGTGGTTGAAAGCACTCTATGTCGGCCATCGACCGGGTCAGGCACCCAGAAAGGTAAGCATCCCCCCCCCCCCCCAAAAAAAAAACATTCTGGTGAAATTATTGCTACCAAAAGCCGAACAAGTGGATAGAACTCCCCTTACAAGAAACAAGCAAACGATCATGACATCTCACGTCGCCGCGCCGCTGTCTGTGCAGCTCTCCACTCCCCGGGAGGGGAAAGAGGGAGCCCCAGATCCCTCATGCCGGCTATCCACCTGTCAGTTCAGAGGCTGGATGTCAAAACACACAAAAGAAACGCCGACCGGGGAAAGGGAGGGATGCCAGGGAGCCTCCGGGTCTCACCCAGAAAATGTTTCATTACAATCAACGCTGGTTTTCTGGGGGGAGCCCCTTCAGCTCCCCAAAGCTAAGTACCCACAGAAGAAGACCATAGAGACTTACCTGGGAGGCTGTTGTTGCTCACTCCACAACTTGAAGTCAAGACAACCGGCTGCAACCGCCGACTCAAAAACGACACAGGCCCAACTAGGCCTAGGGACGTTCACGAGGTAAAGTGCAGCCAGGACCCTGTACGACCCCCAAAAGCCCCATGCCCGAATATCAACCCAGGACATGGTGCCAAAGATGGCAGCAAGCGCAGTGAACACACAAACGTCATGGGCACGGGGATAGACCACAGGCTGGCTAGCCGCAAGAACTCTGTGGATGACCTTTTCTGCAAACAGGAAAGAAAGGGAAACGGGATCAACCCAAAGTACATCCCCGGACACAGAGGCCGAGGCGCGCAAGTAACAGCGAAGAGCCGCCACATAACACAAAACATGATGCACCCCCAGCCCAACCAAGCATCAACAACCTAGGGACCCCTCCTGAAAGTCGCAGTCTCAATCTTCACCAGAAAAGAAGGAGACGGCTGCAGACAAAGAAAACCATCATGAAGACCGAAAGAGCAGAAACCCCTGCGACGGAGGAGAGCATGAAGCTCCCCAACCCGACCCTCAGAGGCCACAACAAACCGAGGGGAAGAAAGAAAAGAGCACTCTGTTCAATGACTAAGACGGCTCAGGCGGCACAAGATCAGGCAGGAGGTGAAACAATGCATGAGACAACTTGCGAAACGTCACAGAATTAACATCAAAACCGAAAGCAAGCCGAAGCGGCTCCGCCATCGTCGCACGATACGAGGGGACAGTATGGGGCAAGATGACGGCTCCAAACCTCCACAAGAAAAGGACAAGGCCACACCAACAAACGCAGCTACCAAAGAAGGGACAGAAGGAAAAGGAAAGACCGCCAAAAACCCCACACTGCCGCAAAGAAGAAACACGCAGGTGGGACACCATCAACGAAGTCACCTGACCACCAACAGAAGGCGAGAAACTCGAGGCAGAACCGAACCGGCCCCGCCGTGGGCCAATCGAGCCTAGGAAGAGGCAGAGCCGCGGGAAAATCTCGGGTGCAACCACGGAGCCAGCAAAGCTGGAAACCCAAGCTGACTAAGGAGGAGATGGAACATTTGCTTTACAGAAAACATCGCCACTCCTGCGAGCCAGCCGGGAGATCGGAGACGACAGTCCCGACGCGCGATTCTAGAGAAGGGATACCGAGAGAACACGAAAACGCCAACAAGCTGGGTAAGCCAGGTAACCAGAAACCTAAACCTGGCAATAGGAGAGCCAAAGGGCACAAAGAAAACACAACCCATGAGTAGGATAAAGAGAAAACGGAAAAACACACGACCAGAAGTAAAGCCCCTGCACCAACGGCCAGGGACAATGGCGCTTCGGTATGGCACAGGATATGGCACTTCCTCCTAACACAACCTCTCTCATTCAGCCTATGGATCAGGGAGTTATCAGTGCCACAAAGAGGTTGTACACCAAAAAGATGCTGAACGAAGTTTTGGTGGCTTTGCCTCTTCCGGAAATATTGAACTCGGTGTGGATAACAGGGCTAAAAAAAACTTGAGAATTTGAAGAACTATACAATCAAGGAAGCCATCTATAACTAGGTCAAGGTGTGGAGTGAAGTAAAGGAATCGACTTTGAAAAATTCCTGGAAAAAACCAGCATTGAATGTAATGAAACGCCATTTACTGGGTGAGCCCCGGAGGCTCCCTGGAGCTTATCGGGCTAATGTATGTTATATTAGACCGGGACATTAGCTGAGGAGTTCAGACCTACCAGGGACCAGTGCCAGAACCTGGGCCCCTTCAGAGAGGTTTCAGGGAGCAATGGCCCTGGAAAACCCCCTTGTGGTTGGGGTTTTCCTTATCTGCCATCGACCAGGGTTAGGCACCCAGAAAGGTAGGCATAACAAAACAAACCCCACATGGTAAAAAACTAAAACAAAAAAACGAACAGAGAGGTAGAAACTCCCTACAATCCCAAGGAAACAAGCAAACAAGCAAACATCACACTTTACTGCCGCGCCAATCGTCCGCGCAGCCCTCCCCGCCCCCGACCTACCACGCCGGCTGCCAAGCTTCAGTTCGGAAGCTAAGCTTCAACCAACGCGAAATAACCGCGTGAAATAACCCTCCCTCCCACCTACCGGTGGGAGGGAGGGTTGCCAGGGAGCCTCCGGGGCTCACCCAGAAAATGGCGTTTCATTACATTCAACGCTGGTTTTCTGTGGGGAGCCCCTACGGCTCCCTGGAACTTCATACCCAAAGAGAAGGAAAAGAAAGGGCTAACCCAGGAGGCAGCCGCCACAAACTCCGCAACGCGAAGCCGAGACAACAGGCTGCAACCTACGACCCAAGGCAACAAGAACGCACAGGAGCAGACGCGCATAAAGAATGGGCGGCCAAGAACCTGTGCGACCCTCAAATCCCTGCGCCCGAAAAAAGCCCTAGACGTCATCAACACAGCAGCAAAAGCTGTAAACGTCCGAACAGCACGGGCGCAAAGACAGACCGCAGGCTGGAAGATTGAAAAACTCTGCGGACGACCTGGGAGACCCGAGCCCTGAAAACAGGGTACGAGGGAAACCGGATCAAACCAAAGCGCATCCCCAGACACGGTACGCAGGTAACGGCAAAAAGCACAACCGGACAACACAGGATGCACCCCCGTCCAAACCAATCAAGCATCAATAACCCAAGAAGCCCTCCGGAAAGCAGCCGTCTCGACCGTCGCCAGGACGGAGAAAGGCTACACACGTACAAACCTACCACCAGTACCAAAGAGTAGAAACCTGAACCGAAGGGGCTACCACAAACTGAGGAGAAGATAAGAAGGCACCCTGATCAAGGACCAGGACGGCTCAGGCGATGCATGAGCAGGCTGGAGGTGAAACAAAACATGAGAAAGCGTACAAAACGGGGCAGATGTGACGTCCACCCCGAACGCAAGCCGGAGCGGCTCCGCCAGCGCCGCACAAAACGAGGCAACAGTAAGAAACATCAAATAACTGTAGTCCTGAAAACCCAAGAAAGTACAAGACAATCTGATGCGAAAGAGACGACAACCTACGAAGAGCAAGAAAAAGTGCATAGAACACCAGGAACGTCATACTGTCACCAAGACGAAGCTCGCAGGTGGGACACCATCAATAAAGCCACCTGAACACCACAGAGATGGTGATACCCGTGTCAAAATACCAGATGTGAAGAGCCAAGGAGAAAGCCGAACCAGTCATGTACAGGACCAATCCGACCTGCCGAAAAAGGCGGAGGCGCGGGAAAACGCCCCGGGTTCGGA